GGAGAAGGCTCTGGGTCTCTCTGACTGCTGGGGATCTATACCTGTGTGACATTGGGAAAGTTACTCAATATCTCTGTGCCTACTTTTCTTCAGTCTGAATGTAGAAAGCAATGCCTTTTTCAAAGGGTTTTTGAGAGGATTAAGTATAGTAAATATCAGCTGTGTCAAAACCTAGATACTAGTATATTTCTTTCTTTCCTCTTCTTTTTTTGATTTGAGATGATTTTTATTTTTTTAATTTGTCTTTATTGTAGGAAGTATTAGAGATGTCCCTCTTTTGTTCCTCCATTGACACCCTCCTCCCTACTCCCACCCCCACTTCACAATATTGCTGTTTGTGTCCTTTGGTTATGCATACAGTACTTTGGTTTATCTCTTCCTGCCCCACCCCACCCCACCTCCCTTTCCTCTGAGGTTTGTCAGTCTGTTCCCTATTTCCATGTCTCTGGATTTATTTTGTTCATCAGCTTATTTTGTTCATTATATTCCACAAATAAGTGAGATCATGTGATGTTTTCTTTCTCTGATTGGCTTATTTCGCTCAGCATAATACTCTCCAGGTCCTTCCATGTCATCTCAAAGGGTAGGAGATCTTTCTTCCTAACAGCTACACAGTATTCGATTGTGTACATGTACCACAGCTTTTTATCCACTCATCAAACGTAGGCACTGTTTCGTTTTGCTTGATATACATGAAGAAAAGAGAAGTTTTTATTCTGAAGCTGGTTTTCTTGAGAATAAAGTGTAAAAAATGCAGGGTTGAGCAAAAGTAGGTTTATAGTTGTTCATAATAGAAAAAGACATGCAGGTTATGATTATTATAATAGCTGTATTAATTTTAAAAAATGTCACAGTGCAACTGTAAGCCTACTTTTGTCCACCCCTGTATATTCAATAAATACATACAAGATCGTGAAGACTGTTTTAAGAGATTTAATGTAACAAGTACAGGAGGGCAAATCCAAAATTATTTGATTTAGAATTAGGGTGAGACATTAACTATAGTTCCAGAGTTGATTGGTTATTTTAGAGTATTGCATATTAAGTAGCTAGCCCCTCTAATTCCTTCAAGGGAATATTGTAATTTTTAACTTTATTAAATTCACACTTAAACTATCCTTTAAATTACCTTTGACCTAAAATAAATGATGCTGTAGATAAGTGAAACTGCCAATAAAAACCTGAAAATAGGACCTATATATAGTTGATGTAGTTGTTTAAACCAGTTAAGCACCTATAAAACAGAAACTAGACCTGTCTCATAGGTTTTTGGGGTGGGGTTCAGGAAAGAGGGTGTTAATGTTTTGATTAACATCAAGATGTTATTAACCTCTTGCACTACAATTTGTGCAGAAAATTAGTATGTTCAGAGCAAGGGCTCTTAACCTTTCTCTGTGTTCTGTGGACCTCTTTGGCAGCCTGGTGAAACCCCTTCTCAGATTTTTTTTTTATGTTTAAAAGAATAATTAAAACCCATCACATTATAAGTGAGAAAGCAAAAATTAGCTTGGACTGTAAAAATCTGCCTTACCATTCATGAGCCTGGAATAAAAGGTAGATAAAAACCAGCTGCAAAGTAACTAGAAAACAATCTCCCAAAACACAGCATCACAGTAGAGCTGTCCAGTGTCAGAATCATAAGGACCCTCGGTTTCAATGAGCCCTCAAGGTGTAACAGCCATGGAGTAGAGAGAAGTAGCCAGCACAGCAAGGGATCAGGCCACACTACTCTATAGGCATCTTTATCCTGGGGTGCTGGGGTGCTGGGGTCCTGGGCAAGAGGAACAGAGGCAGAACCAGACCAGAGCAGACAGGAGCTGGTAAGATGCTAAGCTAGGGCTAATGTGAGGAAATGCTTCCTCACCATTAGAGCTGCAGACCCAGGAGAGGAAATTCCCACCACCAACCAAGGTCAACAAGAAGCTTCCTTTTGTAGTTCTGGTAACTCCTGACCAGGACTGGAAGTTCCACTGTGACCAGCTATGGCCCCATTACTTGCACACTGTTGCTTTGGAGAGCAGTTTCTTTCAATTAGTTTTAAGCCATCCTCAAGTGCTAGTCCACACAAAATCCTGCAGGGGCCCTGCTAATCTGACATCACATTTCAGCTTTCATGGCTAGGATTTGCTCCCTCTCTTCTTGGGTGGGTATTTGGAGGGACCAGGTTGGCCTTGATTTTGAGCTAGGCTGGTATATAGAGGAGGGCTTGGATTGGAGCCACCTGAACGCTTAGATTAGTGGGTGTTAAAATGGGGCCCCACCTAAACCTCCACAGAACTCCCCAACCTGGTGCATCAAGTGGACAAAAGTGTTTGGTGGTGGGGTGTAGGGGGAGGCAGAACTACTTCCCATCAGCCCCCAGAAGGCCTGGCAGACCTGGGGAAGCCACTGATGCTCTCATCACGGTGGTCAACTCTGGCCATTGCAGTCACCTTGCTTATCATATGCTTACAAGTACAGAGTGTCTCCAAAAATTGTGTACAGGGTGTCTGTAGATTCTATTACATTTTGAAAATGAAATGTATTTTAATAAACACTGGCTTTATAATTATTCAAAGTGTGTATACATTTTTTGGGGACACCCTGTATTATGATGGTTCAGTCCTATTGTGGTTGAAGCAAAGGCATTAGAAAGCCCTGGTCTAAGAGTTCAGCAGCCTGCTGATCTCTTATAAAATGAGTGAGTATAATGACAATGCCTTTAATGTTCTATTTATAGACATAAATCAATATCTATGTATAACGGCCTAGCAAACCACAAAGCAGGGCAATTGACCCCACTGTTTTCTTGACGGGGTTGAAGGGTCAAAGAAGAGAGGCTAAAGTAGAATCTTCTTCCTTATTGAAGTGGTAGAGCCAAACAAGGAAGAACGTCTGAAGGGGAGATGCATGAGTGGTGGATTAAGTAGCATTTATGGTGACAGCTGCAAAAACAGCACCAGGTGTTAGACCTGTGAGGTCAGACTGGATCTTGGTTCAGCAACCTGAGTACTTGAGTTCTGGCTAGGAAAGAGTTCAGAGCCTAGACTCAAACTGTAAGAGAAAGTTTAGAAAGTTACAGAGATAGCCCAGCAGGTGTGGCTCAGTGGATTGAGTGTTGTCCCATGGACTGTAGAGGTCCTGGTTCAATTCCTGGTCAGGGCACATGCCAGGTTTGTGGGCTCGATCCCCAGTAGGGGGCGTGCAGGAGCAGCTGATTGATGTCTCTCTGGCACATTGAAGTTTCTGTCTCTCCCTTTCTCTCTCTCTAAAAAAAGCAATAAAAAACATATTTAAAAAAGAAAGTTACAGAGATAGAAGTGAGTGATAGAAGAAATGGGCTCAGGAAACAAGTTACAGAGCCAAAAGAAGGGCCCTAGGAGCTTAGGAGAGAGAAGGGTAAAACGGACCTGGGGGCAAGAAGAGGGGAGAGGAAAGACCAGCGAGCTCCTGAAAGGGGAAAGCATACTGGGTCCTCTGTCCAAAGGGCATTTAAGGGTGACTTAGGGGAGATTCCAGGGGAGGATCACTAGAATAGTCATCATCTTTCCAGGTGTGACCTGATTGGTTGGCACCAGGGTGCAAGCTTGCGCTGGCGCGCTCTCCACAGCCTCCCTACCCCATGCGCGCGCGCACAAGTGTGTGTGTGTGTGTGTGTGTGTGGTGTGTGCGATTAATCCATGCAGCTGGTCTTGAGGTCAACTATAGAGTTGTTTGTCTGGTTTTGCTGCTTTTCTGAGCCTGGAGCCCAAACACAACTGAGGCCTAGATCTATTTGATGATGGTCAGGACCTCATTGTCCTGGGGGCTTAATGCTTTAAGGCTATTCTGGGCCCCCTTGTTCTCCTCTAAGTGTGTGTGTGTGTGTGTGTGGGGGGGGGGTTATCTAACCTGCATGACTAGCATCATGCTAGGAGAGGAAAGGTTAAACTGGGGGGTGGGGGGAATCCTTGTTCTTCCAATTATGTCTGTTGCTAGGCACCTGAGACTTTCCACCCTGGTGACCTTCTATACCTGGCCCATCATCTTGCTCTGCTCAAGTCTATCTAACTGCCTTCCACACTTAGAGTACTAGCGGGGCTGTATGTTGTTAGCGCTGGCCACTGTCATCACTGGTTAAGTCAGGTGAAGACAAGTCATTCCTCAAGATTGTCTTCCTCATTACATTCACCACCCCAAATAAAGATTCTCCTTCACTCAAATGTTTATTACCTGTCTGAGCTGTGTAGGTAGGGTAAGAGTTCAGTGGTAGAGAGGAGCTCACAGCTGGATTTGTTTATTCTTCTGGTTTGGTTTGGTTTTCATAATTGTTAGGGGAGGTCAGAAGAAGCTCCAAAGAAATGGTGATCTTTAAACTGAGACATGATGTCAGATGATCCCCAACATCCCTCCTCCCCCCGCCCCAGGCAGGATGGGTTAGAGAAAGAACAGACCCAAAACCCCATGTGGCGTCCAGGGGTGCGGGGCCCACCAATCGCCTGCCTGCCTGCAGTTCGGAAGCCGCCACTGGGGAGGAAGGGGACAAGGCCAGGCGGGGACAAGGCCAGGATCTGGAAGGCTTCCTGTGCTGGGTGCCCTAGCCTTCGGCCGGCAGAGGACGGAGGACAGAGGGCACAGGGCAGAGCCCGCCGGCCACGGCCCGAACCCCAGTTGGCACGGGGCGGGGGAGCGCTCCGCGCATGCTCAGCTCGCCGGCCCTCCGCAGTCGCGGGCTCGGGAGGCGCCGGAAGCAGCGAGAGCTGCCGTATGGCGTCGGCGGGGGACACCGGCCCCGAGGCGGGGGACACCGGCCCCGAGGCGGGGGACACCGGCCCCGAGGCCGGGAGGCAGCGCCGCGCGGGCGCAGCCCCGGGACGCGCGCCTGGGCTCTGGGCCCTGGCGCTGCTCTGGCAGGTGGCAGCCGCGGGCGTCCCCTCCCGGCGCCAGTGGCCGGTGCCCTACAAGTGAGTGCGGGGGGGGGGGGGCCGCGTCCGCGCGCGGGCGGGGCGTCCTGTCTCGCGGGGGGGCTGAGGCGGCTGCCGGCGACACCCAGGACGCGGTGGGAAACAAGTTGAGAGCTGGCGCCTGCTTGCTGCGTGCCGCCCGGAGCCTTCCTCCTCGGGACACTGGGGTCAGTGCCGAGGTGGCGAGCTCCGGGCGACCGGCGGGAGAAAAGAGGAGGCCAGCTGACTCCGAACAGTGGGAGCCTTTTAAGTCCGCGTGGGTTATGTTACACACCATCACTGGTTACCCCGAGTGCCGAACCTTTGGCAGAATCGGCAGCAGGGCCAGCTCGGCGCGGTTCGCCGGGAATTGCCAGCCGCCTTGGTCCCGGCAAACCCGGAAGGTTGGGGACTAGGTCTGCCCACTGTCTTAAGCCTGGAGGTAGAGTCGAGCGTGCAGACTGCAGAACTGTGACGCCGGTTCCAGCCTTTGACCTAGAAGAGCATGACTTGGCCCGATGCTGTCCGAGAGAACACACGGCGTCACGTCAGGCATAGCAAAGGCCAGCAGCTTCGGAAACGCACAACCATTTTGGATGACGAAACAGTGAGTTGGGAGGCAGGATAGCCTAGCGGTTGGGAGTTCGGAATTCCTACTGCTGCACATCAGACCAAGCACCGTCATGACCAGCTGTGTGATCTTGGGAAAGTTACTCAGGAGCTCTGTGCCCACCTGTCCTGAGTCAGAAAGGAGGAATAGTAGTGGCACTGATCGTAGGTTTGTTGGGAGGATTGAATCTAGTAAATGCCAGCTATTATGAAACCTGGATATTAGTGTAGTTTTGCTCACGGAGTGGTTTGCATCACTTCTTGTTTTGTTTGATATACATGAAAAGAGAAGTGTGTGGTTAATGCAGGTTTTCTGTAAAATGTTGATAAGATGTGCATAAGAAGTAGTAATTAAATTTTCAATAAAACAAGGAAGAAACTATAAATCCAAAACCACTTGTCTTAAGAGCAGGGTATTGAGTATTACTTATAAACATAAGTTTCAAATATTAAGTATATGCCGCCATCTAATACCAATAAGAAAATTGATTAAGTTCGTACTTAAATTATGCTTTTGAAATTACTTTTTTTTTTTGGGGGGGGGTCCATCACAGTAGTCCCAACTTGCGCCAGAAGTGCATGCAAATACTACCAGAGACATGCTGTTCATCTGGTTTTATTGATAGAGGCAAAAGGAGAAGGGGGGTGCTCCTGGCTCCCCCAGGCTGAGGGGTGGATTGCAGACAGCCCCTAGAAGTGTAAGAAATAAGAAGCTGACCCTTAGGCAGCAGCTGGTTAGGTACTCAGTCAAATCCCTTTCAGGGAAATACTGGGAGATGGGCGCTTTTTGCCTGTGTCTTCTGTACTGAGCCTTGAGGGTATAATCTCAGGAGTGCTTGCAGACCCATTAAGAACTACTTTGTTATAGTCCTGTGGGTTTCACGAGTGTCTTGTCACTACTGTATTCCCAACCCCCTCCAAAATGCAATATTGAAATTACCTTTGATCTAAAATAAATTTTGCTGTGGGCAGGTGAAACATACATAGTTATACATTTGTTTAAAGCAGATAAGCACCTATCAAACATGAGAATATACCTGAATCTTGTAAACTTTCATAAGAGTTGTTTTGGCTAACATTTAGATTTTAACTTAAAATAGAAATTTTTGTTGATGCATTAGGATTGTAAAAGAAGATCTAGCTGGAACTCAGGTATCTAGGATTCTTAGAGGACAAATATAGGTAGCTTCTTTCTCTCTTCATCTTTCTCTCCCACTGTCTCATATGGAAGCTGGCCAGTAAGTGTTGAGCTGAACTGAACTGTAGTCCTATTACCATGGCCTTCTCAGACCACTTTCTTTTCTTGTTGCATTATTGAAGTAACCTCCTAAAAGTGACCTCTCAGCCTTAATTTGGCCTCTCTCCCTACCTTGTAATTTATAAAATAAGGTTTATTTTAAAGCATATTCAATCACATCAGATCTCCTTCTTAAAATCCTTTAAACTCACTGCTGGGCTCAAACCTCCCAGTTGGAGGACTCGAGGGGGTGTGGCTGCCTACCTCTCACACTCCTGCCTAGAAGCCCAAAGGCCACCTTGTTTACCTGTCAGACTCTTCCAGCATCTTGTGTGCTTGTCTTATAATACATACTGTGTTCTCTCCTACTTCTAATCCTTAAAGTATCTTAAAAACCTAGGCCAGGTCTTCATCTCTTTCTTTTTTGTTATCCTCACATGAGGACATTTTTGCATTTATCTTCAGATAGAAAGGGAGGGAGAGAGGGAGGAAGACAGAGAGAGAAACATCAATGTGAGAGAGATTCATCGAGTGGTTGCCACCCACACGACCCCATCTGGGGCCAGGGACAAACTGCAACTGGGGGACAAACTATAACTGAGATACGTGCCCTTAGCAGGAACCGAACCCAGGTCCTGTGGGAATCGGCCCTGGTCTGTGGGCGGATGCTCTAACCGCTGAGCCAAACCGGGCAGGGCTTCATCTCTTTCTTTGCCTTCCTCTCTCGGGTCCATCCCACACAGATAAAAATGAGTTTTTTCTCTTTTGTGTCCATAGGACTTTGTATATTTCTTTGGTCTAGCACCTACCACGCTGTGCTTCATTGTTTAATGTTTCCCCAGCCCTGACCCAAAGCTCCTGGAGGAAGGGAACAGCGTTATAATTTTTGTTTCCCTCCTTCCTAGTATAGTGTCCGACACATAGCGGAGCCCCAATAAACACTGGCTTAAAGAATATTGGTAAATTCTTAAGGAAATAGGAAACATTCTATGTAATCATAATTATCTTTGAATAATCTAAGCATATAGATGGGTAATTAAGTATCATTTGAAAACTCTTCATTTATTCAGTAAGTATTTGTCTACTAAATAAGATCTAGAGCTATAAACATTTTAAGATATGATCCCCCGATTTCAAAATTCTCCCAGTGGGATCAGGGAACAGGGAAGCATGTTGTTATCAAAGTGCTTTTAATGTATCGTGTGCTGTTCAGAGACATCATTGGCATTTGTTCACCGAATAGCAAATAAAATGTATATTTATACACTATGGGTTTAGCTTTGAATGTTTTCTCTAAAATTTTCTTGACAGTGAAGTTAAAATTTGGATTTTAAAATATGCAAGAAGTCTCCTAAGTTGATGGTTTCTTTTCCTTTATTAGACGCTTTTCCTTCCGTCCAGTTCCAGATCCGTACTGTCAAGCTAAATACACGTTCTGTCCAACTGGCTCACCTGTCCCTGTCATGAAGGGTGAGGATGTCATTGAAGTCTTTCGGTTACAAGCCCCAGTATGGGAATTTAAATATGGAGACCTCCTGGGACACTTGGTAAGGATACAGCTTGATCTTATAAGTTCAGTTAATTAATTGATGTCATTATTAAGTAGATTTGATGGAACATTTTAGATCATGTTTATTGATTTACCTCTAAGTGTATTTAAAATGAGTAAGCAAAAAAAATATTATGAGGTTTTGTGAGCCTAACAATAAATAACAAATGCAATTGCTCTCATCCCTTTTAATATTCTGAACTCAAACCCAATTCCTGTACCCAGCTCCTGAAAAAGTGGGAAGGGAGGAGGCCCCGAGGAAGGGGCAAGGCAGTCAGGAAAAACTTCATTTCCAGGCCCTATTGAAGGCACTTTTCCTAGGTTAGTTCACCATTTGAGCCTCTTATCCCCAGTGAAGTACATAGAGTTCCTTCCTGAGACTGTGGCGTGGAGGCTTCTCACACTCATTCTCAGCTGTAAGGAAATGACGGACGTGTCCATGTAGTCTGAGATGAGCGGCAGTGGCCGGAGTGGACAAGGGGTCTGGAACTCGAGGAGCCACGGAGTGGACAGGACAGGAGCAGCACAGAAGAAGGAGCAGCTGAACGGTGGTTCCACTTGATTTGCAGTTGTGGTGGATTACATTTTCTCCGTGTGTTCCTGGACCAGTGGTTACTTCACAAGTATTGCTATGCCCGTTTGATCTTTACACAGAAAATTATGCATGATGCCATCGGATTCAAGAGTACTTTGACTGGCAAGAACTACACCATGGAATGGTATGAGCTTTTCCAACTTGGAAACTGCACATTTCCCCACCTCCGGCCTGAAATGAACGCCCCATTCTGGTGTAATCAAGGAGCTGCCTGCTTTTTTGAAGGAATTGATGATGGTCACTGGAAAGAAAATGGGACGTTAGTTCAAGTAGCAACCATATCAGGTAAGTTTTAAAAATATGACAGTGTTTGATGATTGCATTAACATCTAAATGATAGAAATTATTTTTATTGTGGCGTTTCAGTAATGTTCTCCCTTATAGGGGTCAATTTATAAAATGAACTTCTGGAACCACTAACCTTCGACCCACACTATTACTCATGCAAAACTTCACCAGTAGGCGATGAATAGCTTACCTCCTCTATTCCCATGGTAAAACTGCACAAAATGATAAAACACTCTGCATAATTTAATTGGACTTCTTAATAGAGGGAAATATATAAAATGCCTGAAAAAAATAATTGATTAAAGGACCTGTTAGCTATATCTGGAAAGAGGCTTTTAGTGTTGATACATGAAAATGTTTTTATGCTGAGAAATAATAATAGACACCACTCATGTGGACGTACTCTGAGCCTGACAGTGTTCTGAGTACTTTACATGTATTACAACATTTATCATCACAGCAGTCCCCTGAGATAGTTGCTGTTATTTCCCCAATTTTACAGATGAGGAAACTGTGGCACAAAGAGAGAAAAGTCCCCCACCTGAGGAAGTGAGACTCCAAACTTGGCAGTCAAACCCTATTGACCATTTCTTAACCACTTTGTACATTGCCTCCCAACACTTAGGATCTCATCCATTTGAGGCCTCTTGAGCAATTTCAGTATTTCATCTCAGATTTTCTGTTCTCTTGGATGTATTTGAAAGTTGCTGAAACAGTTGGAATTTTGCTATGTATGTTGCATTTAGTTAGTAGTAAAGAGAGGAGTTCAGCAGAACTTCTACCAGAAGCTGGTTATATGACCTTGGTCACACGTTATCTTTTGACTCATTGCCTCGTGTGTAGAATGGGGATGAGGCTTTAGAGGTGGGGAGCGTGCCTGTATCATTTACAGAACGCTGCATTATAAATTGTTCTCCACAAAGGTGAAAACATAATAAAAGCACTGTTTGTCATATGAATTATTCAGTGAGCCCAGCCAGTGTGGCTCAATGGTTGAGCCTCGACCCATGCCCCAAAATGTTGCCGGTTTGATTCCTGGTCAGGACACGCCCAGGTTGTGGGCCCGATCCCGTGAGGGGCATGCAGGAGGCGGCCAATTGATGTTCTATTTCATCGATGTTTCTATCTCTCTCTCCCTTCTTCTCTCTTTAAAATCAATAAAGAAAAAAATGTTTTTTTTAAAAGAATTATTCAATGAACTATAGGACTTGAGGAAATTATCATGCTTTCCACTGTAGTTTTTTTTGTTTGTTTTTGTTTTTTGTTAATCCTCAACTGAGGATATTTTTTTCATTGATTTTTAGATAGAGTGGAAGGAGGAGAGAGAGAGAGAGACATCAATGTGAGAGAGACACATCAATTAATTGCCTCCTGCACAATGCTGAGCAGGGCTGGGGATTGAACCTGCAACCCAGGTACATGCCCTTGACTGGGAATTGAACCCAGAATCTGTTGGTCCACAGGCTGATGCTCTAACTCCTGAACCAAACTGGCCAGGGCTGCATAGCTCTTTACAAGACACTTTTTTGGAGCATAAGACACTCAAAATAAGGAATTGAGGTTCAGTCAGGTGGTATGGCTTACCTGTCTTTTAAGGTCATAGAACTTGATGTAGAACCAGGAACAGAACTGGTGTCTCTTACATGTAATCTGGGAATCTTTTAACTATATATCATGCTGTTTTCTACTTTCTGATTGATGTGTTCCAGACCATCCCAATAAAATAAAAGTCCAGCCCTGGCCTGTTTGGCTCAGCGATTAGAAGTTCAGCCCATGGACTGAAGAGTCTTGGGTTTGATTTCCGGTTAAGGGCACTTACCTGGGTTGCAGTTTTGACCCCTGACCCTAGTTGGGGTTGTGCAGGAGGCAACCAATCAATGTGTCTCTCTTACATCGATGTTTCTTTCTGTCTCTCTCTCTCTCTCTCCCTTCCACTCTATCTAAAAAAGAAATCAATGGAAAAATATCCTCAGGTGAGGATAAATAAAAGTCCATTTCTCTTTTAACAATGTTTGGTGTGACAAATAGCTACTTCCTCTTTCATTCTGAGCCAGTTCACATCTCTCCTTTCTCCCACCTCATCTGAAAATTCTTCCTTTTGACATAAATGTATGATCATATGGACCAGTGATCACTATTTTCTGTAAAATCGTTTGTAATATGCTAGTACTTAAATCTTTTAAGTTATCCATCTGCTCTGAGATTAATTCTGTCCATTGAGCTTTTCTCATGTTACAAAATAGTGTTTCGAGCACTGGCCGGTTTGGCTCAGCGGTTAGAGCGTCGGCCCACGGACCAGAGAGTCCCGGGTTCAGTTCCCACTACGGGCATGTACCTCGGTTGCAGTTTGTCCCCGGCCCCAGTTGGGGTCATGTGGGTGGCGACCACTCGATGTGTCTCACATAGATGTTTCTCTCTCTCCCCCTCCCGCTCTATCTGATGATAAATGCAAAAAAAAAAAAAAAAAGATTTAAAAATAGTGTTCCAAAGCATTCTTATCTCTTAATTACAGCTCTGGCTTTTCCAAGAACCTGAGAAGAGTATCCCCAGTTTTAAGAAAACAAGTTTTATATTACTGCATAGTTTTAATTCCATAAAATTGATAAAGGCAGCTCCTCTATTCATTTTATAACATGAAGTACTGATCTTACAGACTCAAGTTGGAGCAACCTAAGAAACATACATAGTGACAAAGTGAAATGTTGGGGCCAAGCTCTTTTAAGCATTGTAAGTACCCAGATGAGTTTGTAATCATGCAGAGCACAGTGTTTTGTTAACACTTAGAGGCTCCTGCACTCTGGTGCAAGGTGGTAGGAGCGCGTTGTTAGCTATCCAGGGGTCCGAATGGTCCATAAACTTGGCCCAAACATTTCCAGTTTTAGTCGATTTCTTGGAAGAATTTGTGTGGTGGGTAGAAAGTTTGTAAGCAGAATCCCAACAGCTTCGAGTACAGGGAGAAAGGGAAATAACAAATATTCAAGGTGGATGGAGGACAGTGCGTCCCTTACGGCAGCAGCAGGCCAACCTGTAGCTCAGGAACCGCTCAGGCTGTGTACGCCATGCTTTGACACGGGCTCCGCATCGCAGCCTCCTCGAGGCTTTTCGTCCTGTCTTTGCCCCAGTCCCTCCTTCTTCTTCTGTAATTTTTCTTTGCTTTCTTTTTCTCTTTTGCCTCTCAGAATTTGTTGAGGGGTAGAGAAAGACAGCTTCTGCATGTGTATAGTTTTGCTTTTGACTATAGCTTAAATGATTATAGAATTAGTATACATGACTTATCTTTATACACCTGTCATGTCTAATGTTTACAATTCAGAAGTACCTAGTGCCTTGAACATGGAATAAAAATTGGCTGAGCTTGGATTCCTATTGTGAGATGCAGGTTTGGAAATTCAAAAACTATTGTTTATTTATGTAGATTCATGGCCTTAATCTGGTTAGAACATTTGACTTAAAACTAACATGATTAGCTCTGATGTGCATTTTAGTGATTTTTTTTTTTTTCACCAGGAAACACGTTTAACAAAATGGCAACGTGGGTAAAACAAGACAATGAAACAGGGATTTATTATGAGACATGGACCGTCCAAGCTAGCCCAGAAAAAGGGGCGGAGACGTGGTTTGATTCCTACGACTGTTCCAAGTTTGTATTAAGGACATACCAGAAGTTAGCTGAACTTGGAGCGGAGTTCAAGAAGATAGACACCAACTATACAAGAATATTTCTTTACAGTGGAGAACCTACTTATTTGGGAAATGAAACATCTATTTTTGGGCCAACAGGAAATAAGACTCTTGCTTTAGCCATAAAAAGGTTTTATTACTCATTCAAACCACATTTGTCAACTAAAGAATTTCTGCTGAGTCTCTTGAAAATTTTTGATGCAGTGATTATGCACAGACAGTTCTATTTGTTTTATAATTTTGAATATTGGTTTTTACCTATGAAATTTCCTTTTATTAAAATAACGTATGAAGAAATCCCTCTACCTAACAGAAACAAAACAATCTCTGGTTTATAAAACCTTTATTCTATTGAGTTTTATCCTCCTAACACCAGCATATTAGTTTTTCATCAAGTTGTTTTACACTGGTGTATTTTTTAGGCTTTTCCTCCTTGGGGTAGAAAGGCCAAATGCACAGGGGCAGAATTGTGCAAACTAATATCTCAGGAATATTTTGGGAAAGAAGCTGAAACTCTCATAGCGTTGGCCAAAGTGAGCACGTTACATGATCTTGATTTCAACTGCCAACCCTTTATTAATATGGAAAATTACAGTTTATATCAGCTTTATAGGCTCTTCAGGCCTGACATTTTAAAATTGTGAACGTGGTGTACCAAGATTTAAAATTCCCCTCAGTGACCTTCTCATGGCAGGAGCAGCGTTTCTTCTGGTATTGTAGTTGTTTTCCACTTACGTACTTTTTGGAAGTTTACTGACTTTACAGCTCTTGCCACTTTTGGAATTGCTCTATTAGTTTGATTTTGTTCTGTTCACTTAAACTTACAGACTAATTTGGGCACCACAGTGAGAGTGGTTGTGTTTCCAGATGTAGTGAATACAGTGAAAGAGAGCCCACGTGTTTGGCTAGCATTGCAGAACTAGCTAGTAACTGGCATTGTGTTACATAAGCATCTTAACATGTTTGAACCTTAGTTTCCTTCTCTCAAGTGACCCATCTGTTAGGATTGTTGTCAAGATTGAAGCCATGTAGGTTGGGCATAGTAAGGTCACAATAAATGGTCACCATAATGATTAATCAAAGAATAAACTGCCATCCTTGATCTTGCCTAATGAAGTTACGGTCCAGCCTCTCCTGGGTCTTGTAATAATCACCTGACTTTGAGCTGGTAGCAGTGTTTCTGCAGTTCATATATGGGGCGAGGGAGTAACTGTGGACACCTCTGGGTGAGTAGGCGCCCTGACTCCTTCACTGCCTGTGGTAGCCGCCCCTCTGGCCACTGATGCTGCCAGCTCGGAGGAAGAGGCACACTTCTCAGTGAGGGGACAGGGTTTTTGTTAGGGATCAACAAGCAGCTATGCTTCCAATTAGGGCCATCAAACAAGGCTACAGGGTCCTTTAAGTATCTGATGATCAACTGAACACACTGTCTCTATTCATGGAAAAAAAAACACATCAGTAAGAAAATGAAGCAAGAGATCAAAGAAAAAAACCTGCGTGTAGTGTTTAATGTACCAATTATGTTATTCAGAGTGCTCCTGAGAGGTTAGTGTATGGTCACTGAATTCTCATAAAAAGCCTACGCATAGATATTTACCTGATCCACACGGGCAAATCAGGGCTCAGAAAGGGAAGTGAGCTTTCCACAGCTACCCAGCGAGTGGTAATCGAGCCACATTCTGAACCAGGTTCTAATGACCAAATGGGATGCAGGATCAAGCTTTTCAGTGTCATGTGGTCCTCAGACCAGTGCCTTCATCACATGTTACTAATACCAGACATTACTGGACTGTAGGAGAGAAGTACAGGTATTGATAGGAAGCATTTAGAAACTTTGGAAACAACTTGTTGGAATAACTTTGTTTCTATGGAATCTAATTTTTAAAATGGGGCTTGTATTTGCATTTTTTAATTAATTTGCCTAGGAATTTACTTTTATTGTTTTTCAAAACTATAGGCATTGGACGATAGTCTGAAAATAAAAACCTAGCCCTTACTACAGACAGCTTGAGAAACTGCCATTATGCCCACTGCAGCCTTACTGAAGCACATAGGGAGAACTTTCATCTTTGCAATATCTCCATCTAGTGGCTAAAACGGGGCAATGCAACTTTTACTGGATTCTTAGGAAAGTTGCTCCAGGAAAAAAACAGTATTTTAAATTTACGGAACTGCACTGGGATAACAAGCAAACTCCTGTGCCAAGTCTGTGCTAGCTGTGAATAACAGAACTTGGTTCCACAGAAAAGACAAATGAAGACATCTGTAAATGGAACTTGAATTTTAAAGCAAGATTCTAATAGTTACATTTAAAAAAGCAAGAGTTTTTATTGTTCCTAAGACTATTAATAAATGAAGAAATTCTGTGAAAGTAAAAGACTCAGGTGACTATAGCACAGAGAGAATAGTGTTCATATAAGTAAGTATTTAAGAATTTACCAAACCTGTCAGCTGTACTTAAAAGATGAAGTAGGGCTCTGGAATAGAGATGATTTAAGAATATGTTTTCAAAATGTGGGTTGGTAAACCAAAACGTGGCCAGTCAGGAATTTGCCAATTAAATTTTGCAGACCTTTGAACTACTGTATAACTTCAATGTGACTGCTACTTTTCTGTTAAGTTGTAAATTAATAAAATTTCCTCTAAGAGAAAGCATTTTGTTGAAGTTTGAATGATATAAGGGCTTTACAATAAATATATCCTCACTCATTAATTCTGGCTCAGTATTAGGTAAGTATACCCACAAAGAGGCATAAATATATTTTTGTAGGTACAGGAATATAGTCAAAAGGTGAAAATAACTACTAAATTCTTAAGTAGTTGACACCCTCAATCAAAATTGTCTCCTTAGAAATCAGAAAACAAAAAATTAGCAAGTTCCATCCTGTTGTATAATCCGCTCTGGTGGCACTTACTGAATTCTCTGGGACTGTAGTCCCTTTAAGATGATGACTGTTTTTTAAAAGAAATTGTTGGCATGTCATGCAAAGAGCAATGCTCCAAAACGACATTTTTTTTCCCTTTTCATAGTCAAAGACAGTTGGCCAGTTTGCTTCCAGCATCTGATTTATACTTATCCTTTATTGTCCAAGTAACTTTCCTGTTCCTCAAACTTTCTACATTTTCTCTCCCGTTTAAAGTAAGAAGATATTAATTTTATATTTTTACTAGACTGATTATTCTAGGATAAGCTCTTAATTCACTCTGAGGAAGGTTTTGTGTTAACATGTATGTATGTCCTTTTTTAAAGGAAAGTTGGCTGTCAGAAAACAGGTAGAACTTTTTTGGCTTCTTGGTAACATTAAAACCAGCCCCACAAAGACTGCAAGTTGGTGCAGCCACTATGGAAGAGTGTGGAGGTTCCTCAAAAAATTAAAAATAGAACCACCTGACAACCCAGCAATTCCACTTCTGGGTATATATCCGAAGAAACCCAAAACACTAATTTGAAAAGATATATGCACCCTTATGTTCACTGTATTACTTACAGTAGGCAAGATATCAAAGCAACCTAAGTGTCCATCAATAAACAAATGAATAAAAAAGTGGTGGTACATATATGCAATGGAATATTCCCTGCTATAAAAAGAATGAAATATTACTATTTGTGACAACATGGACCTAGAGGGTATTATGCCAAGTGAAATAAGTCAGATAAAAACAAATACTATAAGATTTCACTTATATGTGGAATCTAAAGAACAAAATAAACAAGAAACATTCATAGATATAGGGAACAAACTGAGGGTTGCCAGATGGGAGGGGGTTTGCGGGACTGGGTGAAAAAAGTGAAGGGATTAACAAGTACAAATTGGTAGTCACATGGGATATAAAATACAGCACAGGGAATGCAGTCAATATTGTAACATATGATGCCAGGTGGGTAGAATTATCAGGGGATCACTTTGTCACTTATATAACTGTCTAACCATTATGCTGTAAACCTGAAACTAACATAAAATAATGACTGTCAACTTGGACTGAAAAATAAAATGAAATGACCTTTCACTGGAAGGCTTCAGTCCCTCAGGATGCACTGGGGGTGGGGGTGGGGATTCATCCTCTTGCCTTTTCCAGATTCTAGTTTCCTTGGTTCATGACCCCTTCCCTTCATCTTCAAAGACAGCAGCATAGTAGCTGCATAGCCTTTCATTATGCATTTTCAATTTTTAAAACTCTATTACAAAGTTTCTGGGTATTTTTATATAAAATAAATACAATGACCAATTTTTCTAAATCAAAGAAATTTTGAAACCTTATAAAGCTTTGTCTACAAACAAAGTATATTTAGGACTATAGCATGGACTCTGGTAGTATTTTTACGCATCACTATTCTGCCTTGTGTCTCGTTTACGCAGTCCAGATTAAGGGCTAGAAATTAGAAACAAATGGCCCTACAGTTATACAATCCTTATCTCATCATTTTATTTTACCTACAACTGATTTTTTTTTTCTTTATTGACTTTTTAGAGAGAGAGAGAGAGATAGAAACATCAATGAGAGAGAACATCGATTGGCCACCTCTTGCACATTCCCAACTGCGGATTTGGCCCTCAACCCGGCATGTGCCCTGACTGAGAACCGAACCAGTGACCCCTTGGTGCATAGATAGATGCTCAACCACTAAGCCACACTGGCTGGGCTGATTTTTCGAATTCTTAAAAGAAAATGGACTAACCAAATTTTTCTGTCTGGGTTTTTTATATTTTGAGTGATGTTATTATTACTATTGTAAGTCTATACTATGCAAAGAACCTTATAAAGTTTACTACAATATATGTAAACATAATTTTATATATAAAAAAACCACAATAAATTAGATAAAAAACAGCCACACAGATAAACTGGGGCTGGAGTCCATGCAAAGACTGTTCCCAGCCATGTATCGGGGAGAGATTACTTACCGCTTCTGAAAGAACTTTAGTTCAGGCCTAAGGCCTTCTTCACATCAACCCCTCCCTTCCAACCTAAGCTGTTCTATAAATATAAAAATTGTCTGAATGCAGTAAATTTAATGTTCAATCATGCCTGTTTTTTTCTGATAATATTGTTAAAATAGCCCAGATTATTAAGGTAAACTGAAGTTATTTTATGGAAGCTGTTAAGCCAAGAGATGAAAATAATTTCAACAGCTTAAAAACTATTCTGATTGAGGGAAAAAAAAGGAGGGATATCGGTAATACATTCAACAATAAAGGTTAAGTTTCAAAATAAAAAATAAAAATTATTCTGATTGTATGGCTTTATATAGATATTTCTCTCTAAAAAGGCTAGCTGGATTTAAGGACCCTAAGAATTCTATTTCTAAATAGTGTCTTATAAATTCTTATTCTATATGTAGAAATAACCCATTCTTTATTTATTGATTTTTATAATCCTCACCCAAGGATATTTTTCCCATTTATGTTCAGATAGAGTGGAAGGGAGGGGGAGAGAGAGAGAGAGAAACATTGATGTGTCTCAACTAGCTGCCTCCCACACAAACCCAACCAGGGCTGGGGACCAAAATGCAACTGAGGTACGTGCGTGCCCTTAACTAGAATTGAACCTGTGACTCTTTGGTCCATGGCCAACGCTCTATCCATTGAGCAAAACTGGTCAGGACCCATTCTTTATTTTTAACAACCATTTTCTTTATAAAATTTGAAGAATAAATTAACATTTCATGGTCAATTTTTAATTTCCTATCACTTTAGGCACAAAAGCTTACAGATTCCATTTGCCTAACAAAAAAGCCATTCTGCTATAAAGATTATTTAATGTTAAATATTATATCAGATATGGATTTGAAACAAAAACCATAAATTTGTAAGTTTAACTTGTTTTAAAATCAATTAAGTACAGCCCTGATCAGTGTGGGTAAGAGTATTTGGCCCACAGACCAAAAGATAGCATGTTTCATTCCCGGTCAAGGGTGCAAACCTGGGTTGCAGTTTAGATCCGGGGGTGCATGCAGGAGACAACTAGTCGATGTGTCTCTCTCACACCAATGTTTCTCTCTCTCCCCACTACTCCCTCCCTCTCCCTTCCACTCTCTGAAAAAATCAATGGAAAAATAAAAATATCCTTAGGTGAGGATTGTCAACAAAACCAAGTACATATGTTAGGGTAGTTTTTAAAAATTGTAATACAACAGCATTAGTAACTATATTTATTCTTAAATTGATAAAAGCATTTAACATAGTTTACAGTATAAACAAATTAAGTGCTATACATTTTGCTTATAAAGTGACTTAAAATATTTCAAGCATTATATAATTCCATTTGTACAAAAAGTAAATTTCCAAATACAGCTTTGGTTAGTAGAACTATGTACTGTCAAATCCATTTTCCAAAAGATGTGCAAGAAAAAGAGCTTCCTTCCCTAACACAGGTATTTCTTGTACAAAGCTTTTTACTATATAGTAAGAGGTGGGAAACGGTATAATAATAACTGTACAAAGCTTTTTACTATATAGTAAGAGGTGGGAAACGGTATAATAATTACTTTTAAGTTTCAAGTCTAGATCATCCTTTTTTCTTCTCATTTATATGTGGCCAGAATACCATCACTTTTAAAAAGCAAAAATTATATAGAATATCACCTTTTACTTTATTCTTAGGAAGGCGATCTATTTTAAAAATAGATTAGATCTGTAAGACTATTAGCTTTGGTAACTCCCAAAAAGCCTTCTGAAAGTTTCAAGCATTAATACAGTCCACTGGTGGTAAATCACTTCTAATTTCCCTTAGGAGGGTAATATCTACTAGTACTAATGTTCAGAATCAAAGTTTATATAATATCTAAAATAACTAAATGCAGCCCAAAACTTAGTATTTTTACAGATTCTACAATGTGTGGATTACCTTCATTCATATGAAAATAAAAATGATACCTAACTTAATATAAAATATCAATTTAACCAAATAATCACAAAACTGTAGACATTGTTCTATTAAAATTTTCTAGACCACTGAGCAATATTTACTTAAAAATATGATTATGAACTTAAATATATCCTTTTTTAAATTTACAGTTTATGGTGAACTGTACACTGGTGCTTCTTTTATGATTTTTGAAAATCCTATTTATATAACTATACAATTCCAAAACAGAAAAATGAGCCATCACTCAAGTTCAATGAAGACTAATAATATTCTCTCATGGAAGTAATTTTTAAATATTTTAAAGTTCTGTTTTTATTTCAATTTAGCATTTTAAAATAAACTTTTCATTTCAATCATTGTATAATACTTTAAAACTAGTTTAAACAAAGATAAACAAAACCAAGGAGAACTGGTAAAACATTCTTTACTTTATACATAGTAACACACTGCAAAAAAGAATTCTCATGGTTTAGCGGATTATAGAGCAAACCTTTATACAAAGCTAAACAATGCCTCCCTTCTATTGTTTATTTTCTTTTAATCTGATCTTGCTGTTTATTATTCTTTTAATATAACCACTATGTGACATGTATCAGATTTCTAAGTGTTCCAATTATATTTATACCTTCATTAAACAGCTTTGTAACATCTGAGAACATTCAACCCATCTTTTTCATTAGATACAAAATATCCTCCATTTCTCTCACAAAATGCTCACTTTCCTGAGCTATATTAAACACCTTATAACAGGTGTATGTATAACTG